GGGAAAAAGAGGACGTATGGTAACCCTAGACAGTCTGATTACACAGAGCCACCTTAGAGATCAGTGTTCCTAACGTTGCTTTTTTGTTTTGTGCACCCCACCCCTGCTGTTGCTCTTGAGGGGCACTGTCTTTTTTCATTTCTTTACTACAGCTCCTAGCTGCTCTTTTGTTACCAAAAGCCAAATCCAGATTCTCTTCCCATCCTCCTGGGTCTGACTGCCCTGCTTCAGCCACAACTTTGGTCTTTAAAAAGATATTGAACGTTATAAAGCATTGAGTTACCTTAAGAGTTAAATGCTAAATACCAAAGACAAACAACACCAGTTACCTGTGTGTGGCAAAAAGTCGGTCAGGTTTGCAACTTTGAATGAAAGATTCAAATGGATTTTAGTGGTATTTAAAAACAAAACAAAACCAATTTATTTTAACCCTACAAAACAAGAGTTTTACAAACCAGGAGTGTTGATTTAGATTTACACACAGATACATACACACTCTTTTCTTAACATCCTCTTACACTGCTTTCATGTTTACACAGCTGTACATAGATTACAGCTTCCTTTATACATTTAGGGGCAGTTAAGTTCCAATAGAAACTCCTTATGTTCTTTTAGCAAGGTTGACTAAATCGTTCATAGTCAAATGATTTAAATCAGCTTGTCTCTTTGCCTGACTTACTTACAGACATTCCTTTGGAAATGGGCCCATTTCCCCTTCAGAATGGCTGCAAAGAAACCAAGAATTCTTTCTAGAACACTTTTTTCCTTTTTAACATTTTCACAAAGTTTAGCTGCTTAATTCCCCCCAGCCTCTGCAGGGTTAACTTCTCACTCTTTCCTTCAATCATTTGCTTATCTCCCAAAATGACACTTTCATCAGCCCAGAGTTCACCATTCCCAGTATTGTCCCAGGGAGCTGAAATCCCCAGGCCTGGACTTACTGCTTCCCTTACTCCTGCCCCTCCGGGCTCCCAACCTGGTTTCCAAGCTCTTTATCTGTTGCCTGCCTGCTCGTCTGGGCCCGATCCCGCTTTCCTCACTGAACCGTCCCTTCCCATGGGCACAGGCTTTGTCCCACTACCAATTTAGCAAGGAGGGTGGGCTCCTTAACTAGCCCCCACCCCTTGTGGTCTCTTTCCTTAAACATTTCTCTCAAAATGGTGAAATTACAACAATATCTCCATGTGACGAACTGGGACTGTTCTTAATGTGGTCGTTGAATGCTGAGTGGGGAGTTTGGCTGGGACGGTCTGCATTGGGGGATGGGAGACTGGCCTTGAGGGAAGATACCTGAGCATGTAACATGAGAACCCAGGAAGGGGGTTGGAGCCAGGTGACACCTCTACCCGGGAAACTGGACAAAGGCTGGGGGAGGAGCCGGGGGAGGCTGGGTGAGGGAGGCTGGAGGGAGTTGGAGTTTTTGAGGAGCTGGCTGGTAATGGAGGGAGCCCAGATGGGGCTCTGCCCCCCCCAATGGGGCTGTGGTGCCCCTGGGACCCCAAGTTGGATCTAACACGGGGGGGGGGGGGGGGGGCTGTTTTTTGGGCCCGCAAGACCTGTCTTGGGCTGTGTTCCTGTCGTTTAAATAAACCTTCTGCTTTACTGGCTGGCTGAGAGTCATGGTGAATTGCAGGAAGCCGGGGGTGCAGAGCCTTGTGTCCCCCCACACTCCGTGACACTCGCACTCCTATATCTTTCAGAGGTGAGGTCTTACAGAAACCTCCTTGTGTAAATCCCAGCACAAGCATGGGCACATAACACACACAGTCTATACCCTCTAAAAACTCTGCCTGGCAGAGCAGGAGGGGAAAACGCTAAGCCCCCTACCTTTTGATCCTGCTACGACCGGGGGTATATTCACCTGTGCAATTTTTCCCGGACAGACGGGTGGGAGTGAGGAGTCTAATCCTCCCCCTTATGGCCTGGCACCTCTACGACCGGGGGGATGTATATACCTAGACAGTTTGTATAGATCTTCTCTGTTTAGTTTTCCCTAACAGATGGGTCGGAGCGAGGACTCTAATCCTTCCCCTATTGCCCGGCATGTCTATGACCGGGGGTGTGCACACCTGACTGATCGATCACTTGATACGGATGAGATACCTTTTAGAAGTATTTAGCAATGATTTCAACAATCGCAGTTCATGTCTTCCCCCTTTTGCAATTCTCCACCAAACATGTTATGCTTATAAGAAGCACACGGGATCTTTTTCAGGGGAAAAGACAATCCGCTGCGTTTATTGAAAATACAAGTGTTAGCGCACGCGCGCACACACACACACACACGTACGTCCTCCAGATGGTCTTATAGTTACCAGTCTGTCGTAGCTTGAGTCAATCTAGTGGCCAGTTAGAGCACGAGTGAGGAGCTGGGCTCGGTGATTGTTAGTCCTTAAGTGAAGTTAATCTTGGGGTTTTCCGCTGTTCTCTCTGATTTGTTGTCTCACCTTCAGCCCCGGTGTAGGTCGACAGGAGAGTGCTCCGTCTCCGGGGGAACTGGATTCTCTACAGCGACGGGAGCGCCCCTGCCGGCCGTGTGGCTAGGCATTGTCACTCAGGCGGCACAGCAGCGTTTTGAGTGTAGACAGGCTCTGAGCGCTCCAGACCTGACCCCAAGCACATGCATGGGTGCGCCCAGAGCTGGCTACGTGCACAGGCGCTGGGGCTGCACGCAGCCAAGGCAGGGGCACATAAGGAGGCCGATTGGAAAGTGAGGCCCCTCGTCTCCTTTGCACAGAGCCCCTGAGCCAGGTCGTGCCCCTGGGGTGCAGACACTTTTTCCTTTCAGAGCAGCTAGCCCCGCTCCCGATCCTGAGCCCAGGGGCCGGGGACCCTCACGCGGAACTCACACTGTCTCCTGCCCTTTCAGTGAAACCCGGATCGTGCCCAGTGGTGTCAGGCGGAATCCCCTTACTGGGCCTGTGCAAGAACCAATGCACAATGGACTCGCAATGCGCAGGGACCATGAAGTGCTGCATCAATGGCTGTCGCAAACAGGCGTGTGTCCGGCCAAATTTTTAAAGGTGAGCGTAGCAGTTCTGGGGCCGCGGGGTAGATAGCACAGTCCCCGTGTGCACTCCGGGGCCGCGGGGTAGAGAGACAGCCCTCTTCTCTCCCCCCCACCCCCCTCCCCCACCCCGTGTGCGCTCCAGGGCGGGAGTGTGGAGTGGGGTGGTGGTCAGTGTTCCTCTAATTTTTCCCACCCATGTGTGGAATGAATTTTGTTATGTGACATGTCACCTCCATCTTAGTGCACAGAACAAAATTCATGTGGTGGGGCCGAGGGGTTCGGAATGTGGGAGGGGGCTCAGGGCTGGGGAAGAGGGTTGGGTGTAGGGGGTGAGGGCTCTGGGGTGGGGCCAGGGATGAGGGGTTTGGGGTGTGGGAGGGGGCTCCGGGCAGTGGCATAGCCAGCTTCTCAGTGCAGGGGGAGCAACCATAAAAAAGGCTCCTCCTCTGGCCACGCTGCGGCCATGCTGCGCCCCCCCTCAGAGGGGCTCGGTGCGGGGGAAGGGGGGGCAGGCAGGCGCTGCTCGCTTCTCCCGGGGGCTGGGGGGAGCGGAGCAGCTGGCGGGCAGATCCCCTCGGCCCGGAAGCAGGAAGCTGCCGGGGAGAGGGGATCTGCCTGCCAGTTGTGGAGCGCTCGGCCGCCGAGCCCTGAGCTGCCGCAGGAGGCGGCCGCGGTTGCGATGTTGGGGCCGCGCTGAGCGTGGGGCGCAATGGCCAAGGAGCCGGCTCCTTCGCTCCTCCAGCCGCGCCTGCCGCCCCCCCCAATGGCTCCTCCGAGTCCGGCCTGCCCCCCCCACTTGCCTGCAGGACATTAGCGGCGGCCGGCAGGTGCCGCTTTTGAAAAATGTACTGAGGGGAAGCGGCTGCTTCTCCTGAACCCCCCCCAGCTACGCTACTGGCTCCGGGGCTATGATGGGGGGGAGAGGAGACTTCCCCCCTTCCCCCCCCCCAACTCTCTCTCCTCACAGCAACACCTGGGCTGGGGGGGAGAGGTCCCTTTGTCTGCTGCGGCAGCTCCAGGGCTGGGGCCGCAGGATAGGCGCCCCCCCGTCCCCCCCAACAGGGCTGGGCTGGCCCTGGGTTTAGGCCGGGGGAGGGGTGCTGCGGCAGGTCTGGGCCGCGGCTGGGTTTGGGCTGGGGGAGGGGTGTCCCGGCCGTGGCAGGGTGGGGGCCGGGCTAGGTTGGGGCTGGGGGAGGTCCCCTGGGCAGGTTCCCTGACTTGCTGCATGGCCACACAGCTTACAGGGAAGTTAGGTGGCAGGGCACCCCATGCCCTATCTCCCGTGCGTAGGTCTCATGGCCAGGCACTGTGGGACCTCCTTTCTCACTGCACAGCTATGTGAGAAGCCCAGAGGCCACGAGGATGGGCAGACAGCCAGACTTGGAGGGAGATCTGCTCCTTGTCCCCCCTCAGGTAGTCAGTGTCATTTGCCCTATGGGGCCGGCCTGTCACTGGGGCGTTGCAGAGCAGGACAATAGAGCCGGAGAACAAGTATCACCCCAATCCCGACCTAGCCCAGGGCGTCATGGTGAGCAGGGCTGATCCTGCGCACCAGCCTCCCCTCCGGAGATCTCTGCTAGCCCCAGGGCTCAGCCTGGGCCCCAGGCCTCCAGCCGGGCTCTCCGTACGGATTCCCTACGCTGAATAGGGCACGTGAGGGGCCCCAGACCCAGCCTGCAGGCCAGCAGGGGCTGGCAGTGCCCAGGAGGCGATTCACTGTGCTGATGGTGTGGGCAGGGAGTCCTGCTCACAGCCTGTTCCCTGCCTCCTCATTGCCTGACCTTCCCTTTGCAGATGCCTCCTAGAACTGCCCATCACCAGGCCAAGGGGGAGTGGCGCTCTGAAATGCCTGTCGCTCTGCACAGGACTCCCAGTGCCCCAGCATGGAGCTATCCTGCTCCCCAGCTCCCTGCCCAGGGCTCTCACGGACCAGCACATCCAGACCCCAATAAAACAGCCTCGCCCTGCAGCTCTGGTGGTCGTGTCTGCATCTTCTCCAGCTCTTTGGGCCAGGTACCTGGCCAGCTCTGGTCCTGCGCCCCTGTTTCCACCAGTACACCTGCCTCGCGCGTAGGCCCAGGTGCCCAGCTGGGCTCCAGTCCTACACCCCTGCCTCACCACAGACATTGCACCAGCTCAGTCTGCACCGTGCAAAGGGCTTGCAAAGTGGGTGCATGCCCAATTTACACCTACACTCAGTTGCAGCTGTCTGTGCACAATCCAGGGCTGGGGCTGAGTATGTGCCCCATGGAGCCCTCCTGGTCCTGCCAGGCTGGGACAGGGCAGTTGGGCACCTTGCTCTCCCCCACACACCGAGTTTGTCCAGCCCCTTCCTGTGCTGTAACCTCCGTCCGGCCCCTGGGCAGCAGCGGTGAGAGAGCTGGGCTGTTCCCGGCATCGCGTCTCTGCTCTAAGACACGGGGCAGCAAGGGCTGGGACGGCCTAGGCATAGACTCTTTGCACGCCTCGTGGAATGGCCCTGAAGTGACGCAGCAACGAATCCAGCCCTGCAGCTTCCAGCTTGGCGGGGCCTGGCACACTGCCTGGCTTGGCAGAGTCTGAACCGCTCTTTGCAAGGTCCCGCTGGGCTGTGCCCGGGCAGCTACACAGAGCCCCTCACGTGCCTCATTCCCATCATCCCGGAACTCCCCCCGTGCCCCTCCGGGACAGCCGGTGGCTCCACCTGCGACACAGAACACGCAGTTCTGCTCCTGGGGCAAGCAAACAGTCAGGGCGCCCGGGCAGAGGGCCAGGGATGCAGCCAAGCAGGGCGAGTAGCACCGGTGCCAAAGGAATGAGGAAACCCGAACCCCTCCCACCATTGCCGGCCCTGCCTCTCGCACGGCCCTGGGACCCAGTGCTGTCAGCAGCCTGGCATGGCCCCAAAGGCAGCATGGCTGGATTCTGGCTCCGCAGGAGCACCCCAGGGATGCTGCCGGAAGCCCAGGTTCCCCCAGGAGCAGGGCTGGTCGTTGCCTCCCCTGCTGGGCTCTGCCTGTGTGATTCTCCCCGGGGGCTGGCTCTCGGGCCCTGACGTGGTACACGTAGCCAAGCTGGCTTGGTGCCCTCATGCCTCTACATGCCCAGGAGCTGTTCACAGGGAGAGGTGACACCTGCTGCTCATTCCCTCGTTTCACAGGGACCCGTCTAGACCCCGGGCGTCCAAGCTGTCCTGACCCCTCTATGTCTGGCTTTGCCTCACCTTCCCTGCCGCCAGGAGGGGGGCTTGCACTTGCTTGGGACATAGGGGCCTGGACCACATGGGGAAAGGGCTCCCCAGGCCTCAGAGCACAGGGATGGAGACAACTGTGGCACCAGCAAGGGCCACATCCAGAGGGCTGGGCTGCACCGGCCCCACAGCTGGGCACTGTCAGGGCCGGGCAGTAGGTCCACCCTTGCCAGGCTGGCCTCAGTGGGTCTGACTCACAGCCAAGGGGTGAGCTGTGGGGCCCACCTGGCCCTTCTCAGGCACACTGCCCAGGTACTCCCAGAAACACCCCTGCCCGCAAGTTCCACCCTCACCCAGGCCCCCGCCATCCCTGAGCACAGATACCCCCACAGGCCCAGCTCAGGCAGGGGAGTCGTTCCTGTCTCTGCAGGGGATGCTGTCTCTGAAGAGGGTTGGGGCTCAGAGCTAAAGGGGACCTGGTGGCCTGGCTCTGAGCCGGGGAGGGCTCAATGCCGGGAGCCCAGCCCCCTGCCTGACCATGCTCCGGGGAGAGGAGTGTCCCAGGCTGGCTGGCAGCGAGCCCGCAGCATTGTTCTCTGGTTGATGTTTGTTTAAACCGAGCCCCAGGCACCAGGAGAGGCCGGGCCTCTGAAAGCTGAAGCACACACTGGTCTCCTCTCTCCCTGGGATCAGAAGCCCCAGCCCCTGGGAGCTTGGACCCTGGCACGGCAGATGCGTGGGCGCTGCACCTGGCTGGCATGGGCTGGGTGTATCAGAGACCCTGCACTCATGCTAATCCCAGGGGGCAACATGGGCTGACGTGGGCACAGGACATGGGCGTGTCTGAGCCTCCCTTAGCAGGTGGGGGGGTGCTGTGTGGCAGAGTCCCTCCCCTTTCCCCTGAGTAGGTGGGAGGAGGGTCACTGCATGCCCAGGTCTCTGCCCTCTATGCCCATCCCAGCAGAGCCCAGGCAGCAGACGGGAGCAGGCCCTGGGGGCTGGGCTGGGGATAGGCTGCAGGCACCGGCTAGCTCCCACGGACCCCTTGCGAACGCCCCGCTGGGGGATGTCTCTTCCTCACCTCAGCAGGCAGAAGGGGTGCAGGGGCCTGGCACAGCTCAGCCTGCGAGCAGGGAGGCACCGGGATGGCTCTTGGCGAGCGATGAGCCACCAGCTAAGGGCTTGGCACAGGTGTGTGAGGGCAGCTGTGCCCGGGTACCCTGAACACGCCATGGACCGAGTCACTTGCGGAGCCACCGGGCAGTGCGGGTCCGGCCGGGCCCTGGCGTATCCTGGCACATGGCCCCCTTCACCCTGCAATCCAGCCAGGCTCCCCCTGCTCCCCCGTCCCACTCCACTGGCCTCTCCGCCAGGCAGCTCAGCCGGGGTGGGGATTTCGGCTCCCGTGGGAGGCGGGAGAAACAGGCCACTATCACTGCGCTTCCCGAACGGCGCCCGTCGCTGTCCATTGGCCCATGGCTTGCGGCCCTGGCACCGTCACTGTCCAGCTAGATCCTGGCCAGCGGGTCTCCGAACAGCACGACCCAGGAAACCAGCCGCTTGGAATGGACAGTGCAGCCAGTTACAGACAAGAGCCGGTGTTCCCAGCAGGGGGATTCGCACCACACGCCTGGGGCTGGGAGCTGGGCAGGGTGTGCCATGTGGCTTCTATGCCCAATACAGCAGGCCGGCCTGGGGCTACCAAACGCTTGCATCAAAATGCTGGAGGAGGCGCTGCGGACAGAGGAACCCACTGGTGAGCAGGAGGGAGGCAGACGCCCTGGAGAGCGCTGTGGGCTGCCTGCCCAGCTCTGCTCCCAGGAGTCTCCTACGTCTGGATTACTATTGTGCTGAGCACGCCCGCGGCACAGCCCCCTCCCAGCGCTGGTACTCCAGCCAACGCATTGTGAATAGAATGAGCTGGACTCTGGCAGGTGAGCCAGCCCCTCCCCTGCCTGACCCAGCCCCCTCTGGGCCACAGTTTAAATCCTGGCCTGGCTCAGTTCCGGCACTCAGACCCGGCTCCCGGTACCACCATGGAGTCAGGAGGCATCTTCCTCCCCCTGGGGCTCCTGGCCGTCTGGGCCGCGTTGCCGCCTGCATCAGGGCAGGAGAAAGGAGGTTAGTAACAGGCGCGTGCTAGACTCACCGAGCGGGATCGATGTAGCTTAACAAAGGGGTGAGCTGATCCCTGTCTCTTGCGCACTGGCCTGGGGAACAAACATTCATTAAGGGGCTCTCCAGTCTAGCCGAGGAAAGTCTAACGCCGTCCATGGCTGGAAGTGGAAGCCAGGCAAATTCAGACTGGAAATAGGGTCTTGTACATTTTTAACAGTGACCGTTGGAGCAGTTACCAGCGTTGGTGGTGGATTCTCCATCACTGACCAGTTTTTAACTCCACTGGCTGGTTTTCTAACAGATCCACGCTAGGAATTGTTTGGGAGCAGTTCCCTGGCCTGTGCTATACTGGAGGTGAGGCTAGATCAGGGGTAGGCAACCTACGCGTGATTTTCAGTGGCACTCACACTGCTCAGGTCCTGGCCACTGGTCCGGGGGGCTCTGCATTTTAATTTCATTTTAAATGAAGCTTCTTCTTAAACATTTAAAAAACCTTATTTACTTTACATACAACACTAGTTTAGTTATATATTATAGACTTCCAGAAAGAGACCTTCTGAAAGCGTTACAACGTATTACTGGCATGGGAAACCTTACATTAGAGTGAATAAAGGAAGACTCGGCCCAGCACTTCTGAAAGGTTGCCGACCCCTGGGCTAGATGGTCAGTGGTTCCGTCTGGCTGGGAATCTGGGCAGCTGTGCATACAGAGAGTGGGTGCCTCCCAGCCCAGCAGATGCACCTGTTCTCTCAGGTGGAGGCAGGTCGGTATGTTCTTATTCCTCACACCATATAGCTGGGTCCCCTCGGTGCCGCCACTAGCAGCTGGGCTCCAGTCTCCTTTCTCTGTACAGGTAAAGTGGGTGACTGTCCGGCCGGGAGGATTGAGTTTGTGCGTCCCTCCAGGATCTACTGTCTCTCAGACTGGAGCTGCCCCGGGAACGAGAAATGCTGCAATACTGGCCACATGAGAACCTGCCTCCTCCCTGACAGAGGTACATCCTGCTCTCCCGGATTGCAGAGACAGTGGGGGAGCTGCCCAGAGCGTGGCAGCAGGGCAAGCAAACCGTGGGAATGGGCAGGGACCATCCAGGAGAGCGGTCAGTGCCATTTGGAGGACCATGGCCCTGCGCCATTGATTTATTCACCAACGATACCGCTGGTACAGCAGGAGTCACTAGATGGTGCTGTTTGCTTAGCCTGATGTTCCTGTTCTTAGTGCGCATGCTGGGTATGGGGTTTGCATCCCAGGACTAGCAGCATAGCACTTCTTCAGTTTCTGCGGGGCGAGCTGCTGCAGATAGCAGGGGAGTTTGCCTCTGCCTTCCTCTCTCACTGGAGCCACCTCCTGGGCACTGGGGTTTGGGCTGAGGCTCTAAAAGAGGAAGCTGCATATACGCCCTTTGTAACCACCTCTGCTCCAGGACTGCTGTATGGACTATAAATAAACAAGATCCACCCAGCACCCAGACAGTGCCTCCAGTTTTCTCTTCCAATGGGAGACCAATCTGCAAGGCCCCAAAGCCTGCTACTGCTTGGCAAAGGGGCGACCCGGCAGAGAGTGGCCACCCCCGAGCAGGGCAGCAGACCCTCAGAGCGTTGGGGGGGGGGGCTGACTGACAGGGGAGACTGTTCAGACAAGCTGGAGCGGCTTGGCTGGGATATCTAAGGTTGCAGAGCATCTAGTGCAAACTCGAGGGAGGGCTGGAGCCGGCAGCCCGGCAGCTTGTGCTCTGGGCCCATGCCCCCGCCGGCCAGCCAGGAGCTCCCAGCTGGCTTTCCCACCATTGAATGCACAACCGGGGAAGCGGCACAAGCCCCTGTGTTGTGCTACCCTCATCTTGCGTGTGCACGGGGGCTCCGTTCCTAGCACACCCATGTGTCCTGGGCACGGCGACTGCACTGTGCGTCTCCTGTTCTGCAGTGAACCCAGGCTACTGCCCGGAGCCCGACACCGGGGTGGCAGAGCCCTGCCTGGTGAGCTGCCGGAATGACTCTGCGTGTGCCGGCGGGGCCAAATGCTGTGCCGAGGGCTGCCGTGTTCGCTGCACGAGCGCCCAGCCAGGTAGGCCCCAGGGGAGCGCATGGCCTCTTGGCTCTGTGATCCCCACCCCCAGCTGTGCCCAGGGGCAGGCTGATGTACAAGGAGGGCGGCGACAGGCCGTGACCAAGGGCCACCCCGCTGCTTCCCAGGGCACTGCCTGGCTGCTGCTGCCTGGGGAAAGGTCCCGTCCCTGGGCCAGGCTGGAGGCGCTGCACCCTTCGTGCAGACACAAGACAAGAATTGCCCCAGCTGGCCCCCACATGTGCCCTCCCCACCTCTCAGGAGAGACGCTGGCCGGGAGTGTCTGCGCTGCCCTCTGCTTATGGATCTAGACCCCAATGCGCTTTGGCACCGGCTGTGGGAGCCGCTGAGCAGCAGCCGGGGCCTGGCCCCAGATGGGGGCCCTGACGTTCCAGCCCATGGCCTGCAGCTCCAAACCTGTCCCTCCCCGGGGGACCCAGCGGGAGGAAATCGCCCCGGGAGAGAGCTGAGTGTGGCATGTTCCCTGCCCCTCTCGATCACACACCCAGCACTGTTCTGCACGGCACAACGACTGACTGCCCTATAGCAAGAGGGAGAAGGGTCAGGAAGCGAGGGCAGAGACCCTGGCACCACCAAAAAGCCTGGGGCAGGGGGCACAGGGACTGAGCAGGGCAGGCCCTGGGGCAGGGAGCCCTGCCTTCCCTCCTGGCTGGCTGTGGCCTGGAGAACTCTCCAGGCAGGCCTGGGGTCGGACAGCTGGCGGGGCTGGGGGTCGGGTGCTTATCTCTGCTGCTGTCTCATTTCCAGCCAAGCCTGGCGTCTGCTCAAAGAGACGCGTGTCGCAGGATTTCATTCCTTGCACAAACCAGTGCGACGACGACAGGCACTGCCCCGAGGGCCAGAAATGCTGCTTTGCTGGCTGCGGCCTGGCCTGCATGAGCCCCTACGCAGGTACCAGCGTGAGTCTGACCCCCGCACTGCTGCTGCCCCCCCAGATCCCACCGCTGCGGCACCAGGGCTCAGCACCGCCCCCCCCCCCCCCCCCCCCCCCCTGGCGCACCCGGGCTCAGCCCCCCCCCCCCCCCAGCACTCACCCCTGCCACTGGCTCCGTGCACACTGGTCTCTCTGGAGACCCCAGGAGCGGCCCCGATCCCATTCAGGTCAGAGCCTCCCATGCTTGGGCTGCACGCGCTGG